CACATGTTTGATTAGACTCCAGGCCTGAAGACATCTGCAGGCCAATTTTGAATCATAGTCATAGAGCCACCTACTGGTAACAGGAAGTTAAAGTCATTATACTTTGGCTTGTTTCTCTTAGTAGGTAAATCAAATCAACATCAAATTACTTCCACACAAATGTAAGAAGTTCATAATACCAGTTCATGAAGCTTTTGATGTTTCGTCGAACGCCGTTGCCATGGCGATGCAATCTTCGCCGTTAACAACAAAGGTAATTTTGAGAGGCTAAAAATGCTCGAAACATAAGCAAACTTGGCAAGCAGATTACAAGCCCAAAATGTAGTTATGGAATATGATTTTATTGGTTCAGAGTGGCAAATCGGCTCAATAGCGCCCCCTACAAAATTTCGACGAAGCAGCCCTCGCAGTATGCTTGACCTAGATTTACAAAATTTGGTAGGCACATGTATCACATATGGACTTAAATAAAAGTCTCTTGGGGCCATGCTCTAAACCCAACCGGAAGTCAGCCATTTTGAATTTTTTATGAATTTCGAGTGTCGTTTTTGTCATTTCCAGGCGCTGGACTTTAACGAACTCCTCCTAGGGAATTAATCAGATCAACTTCAAATTTGGTCGGTACAGTCTAAAGACCTTTGTGATGAAAAGTTACTCAAAGCTTGTTGTTTCGTGAAAAGCTGTTGCCGTGGCGACGCATTCTTCGCCATGAAACATTAAGGTGTTTTTGAGAGGCTAGAAATGCTCGAAACATAAGCAAACTTGGCATACACATTCAAAGCCCAAAATGTAGTTATATAATATGATTGTATTGGTTCAGAGTGGCAAGTCGGCTCGATAGCGCCCCCTACAATATTTTGACGATGCAGCCCTCGCAGTATGTTTCACCTAGATGTATAGAATTTGGTAAGCAGATGTATTCCATGTAGACTTAAAATAAAGTCTCTTGGGACCATGCTCTAAACCCAACCGGAAATCAGCCATTTTGAATTTTGTATGAATTTCATGTGTTTTTCTTCCATTTCCAGGTGCTGTACTACGAACTCCTCCTAGGGAATTAATCCGATCAGCTTAGAATTTGGTCAGAACAATCTAAAGACCTTAGCGATTAAATGTTACTAAAAGCTTTAGGTTTCATCGAATGACGTGGATATGGTGCGATGGCCATTTTACATGGTTCACCATCATCCATCAAGCTGTTGTAACTCAACTGTACTTTATCAAAACTCTCCCAAACTTGACATGCTTGATTACGGTCATGATTTTAGGACTTCTGCATGCCAATATTAACTCATAGTCATAGCGCCACCTACTGATGACCATGGCTGTAAGCAGGATTCTATAAATACAGCGGCCCAAACACTGAACTTATTGAAAGGGTTTGTGGGCACACCATGAGAAAAGAATGACTTCTCTGATCTAAATATGTGCATAGTAAGATGCTTTGAGAGCAGAAATTAGATAACAGTGGTTGTCAAGCCACTGTCAATGGGCATTAGCATAAATGATCTGTCCAAAGCTTCTTCAGGACAATCAGGTTAAACATTATAATGAATGCTTCACACTACAATCTAAAGTTACAGAAGAACTTAAAATGAAAAGTGTTAAATTAAAGTGTTCAAGTAACAGCAAATGGTACTACTATTTTGTTAACTTTCATGTAAGTCCAAATACAATCAGCAGGACACTGCAGGGAGTTGAACCCCATCCCAGTAAACTGACAGTCTGTTATGTTACAAACACTGAAGCACATTCATTTTCTTAATGATCTTTAAAGGCTTACATTCATGATTGTATCGGTGTACACTCAAAACATTTGAGGATTAAGACCTGGCAACATGATCTTGCTGCGCTGCTGGTCTATGCAGGAAATATCTCACTCGTGCACGCAGAGTGTGATGGTCACAGAAATTCATGGCCGCATCACCCAGAGTCGTGCCAGTACCAGGAAATACCGTTTAACTCATGCACGCAGTGTATGCCGGTCACAGAAATGCATGGCCAGAGTCCTGCCTGTACCCTTGACGTGCGTGAAGTAGCGAGGGCCCGATCAATGCTGCTCGCAGCTTTAATTATTATTATTATTTTTAGTGTTTCGTCGCAAAAAGGAGGTGCTTGGGATACTGGAAAACTTCTGAAATTTGGCACGCAAGCCAGAATTTGCGAAAATTGCAGTCTGATTGGGGTGTCCAGCTGCGGTAGGAAATATTGGCTCGATAGCGCCCCCTATTGAGGAGCCCCAAAATTGGGTTTCACCTAGCTGTCTGAAATTTGGTAGGTATGTGGAACGTGATGAGACGCACAAAAAATCCTCTTGGAATTTTTCTCTAAACCAAACAGGAAGTCGGCCATTTTTAATTCTATGACGTTTTTGGACCGTTTCAAGGCGTCATACTTTAACGAACTCCTCCCAGAGATTTAACCTGATCAACTTCAGATTCGGTCAGTATGCTCTTGAGACCTTGGCAGTGAACAGTTACTCAAAGATCAAAAAGTTATCAAACTATGTATCCGTGGCATGGCGTCAGAAAAACACCATTCGCCGTGAAACAGGAAGTTGTTGTAACTCGGCCATACATTGTCTAATCTGCTCCAAATCTCTCATATGTCATAACATCCTGACCCGGAACAAATCTATAAGACAATTTAGAATCATAGTAATAGCGCCACCTAGTGGCAACTGGAAGTTGTAAGTTGTGTACTTTGACATCCTGCTCCTCACAGATTAATCAGATCCCTCTCAAATGTTGTCAGAAAAGCCTTAAGACCTTGATAATGCTTCATTGTGAAGATTGTAAGAAGTTATTGAAGGGCGGCGACATTGCGGCTCGGCGAATTTCGATCCTTCGCCATGAACGAACAAACTGACGTATCTCGACTCCACATCATCAGATCTTTACCAGATTTCACATGTTTGATTAGACTCCAGGCCTGAAGACATCTGCAGGCCAATTTTGAATCATAGTCATAGTGCCACCTACTGGTAACAGGAAGTTAAAGTCTTTATACTTTGGCTTGTTTCTCTTAGTAGGTAAATCAAATCAATATCAAATTAGTTCCATACAAATATAAGAAGTTCATAATGCCAGTTCATGAAGCTTTTGATGTTTCGTCGAACGCCTTTGCCGTGGCGATGCAGTCTTCGCCGTTAACAACGAAGGTCATTTTGAGAGGCTAAAAATGCTCGAAAACATAAGCACACTTGGCAATTCCATCATTTCCTCACTCCTCGATCCTCGCTTGAACCGGCAGTTGTTCTGTGCCGTCCCAAAGCTCTTATTTCTGCTCGGAGGATCGAGGAGCGAGGAGCGAGGAGGGATCTCTGAGGAGCGAGGAGCGAGGAGGGATCTCTGAGGAGCCATGAGCGAGGATGCATGAGAGCCGCCTTCCAGGAAGTGTTTTAATGGCCGACACTCCCCCTCATTGTTCATAAGTTATGTGATTGGACGCTGCAGACGATCGGACTGATCTGATTGTTCTCAACATCACTGGAGTTTCACACCAGAGTGAAGACAGATCACAGATTAGACTCTAGTTTTATATTGAATTCGTTTTCTGATTCATCATCTGGTATAAATATATGTTCATTGTAGACTGAACAAAAGGACCACAAACAACTTTCTTCATTTATTCGAAAGATTTGTCTTTTCATGATCTGATATTTCCCTCAATAACTTTTGTTATGGATACAATTAAAGTCAGAGGGAGCTGAGAGACAAAACACTTTTTACATCATTTATCATCATTTTCATTCAGTCACGTGAGGCTGATCATTCCTGAGTGTCGGGTTTTATGAGTTATGTCATTTCAATTGAACCTGAAACATGGAACCTGATAAATGAATTCCACTGTTCAAGAGAAACCATAATCATATTCTGGGTTAATTAATTATGACGTCACAATCAGAATTTCAAAACATACAGATGCAAATAATTAATAAATAAGACAAACGTATTCTGCCGGTAGAAATCTCATATCGCTTAAAACATATTTCCTTGTTTCCTCTCTCCTCGCATGGTTTTCCAAGGAAAAGATGCAAGTGAAGGAAACAGGGATGCAATTAAGAGACTTGGGATGTACCCCAGGTCTAACATGACATCTGACATCTCCAAGGATCTTTATTACTATACTGTATAACAGACACAGATTAACCTATGTTTAAACGTTTATAAAACAGACTGGATCATCAGAAATACTGGACTGATAATTTTTTCAACTTCTGACATGTTTACATGTTCTTTTGTCAACTCTTTGCAGATGTGCCAGTGTTTCAAAGCAGCACCCTGGAACGGAGGCTCCCCGTCCAGTCCCATCCACATCAACAGGCCCCTCCTCCAGTCCCGCCCACCCAACAGGAAGTGGAAAAAGACATGGTTGAGATCCTCATCTGACCACTTGACCTCTGGGAAAAAACATCCATTTGAGTGATTGGAGGGCAGCTCCATCGACAAACACAGCGACAGACATGTAAATCATCACGAGACATTTTCATACTGTTTTGTTTACGTGTGCATTTAATCAAAATTCTGATGCAACTTTGTATGATACTTTTGGCGCCCTTTGTTTGAGGCTAAATGGAAGGTAATTAATCCAAATTGTAGACAAAACCTTTTTTACTTAATTCAGTCTCTATGCATGCTCATAAATGTTGACCAAATTATAATTAATGTGATGAAGAAAATATAAAAATGAATAGGCAAACCTGATGTTCAATGTCTTCAACAAACATATAACATATAGAGCAAACACATTCACAAATCCACAAATATATTTTTAACTTTTACATTTAAGGTAAAGGAATTTTCTTTTTGTCACTGTTAAATGAATGTTAAATGCTGTGGTCAGTGACTAAGTCTTTGTTTAAATGCACTACCTATTGACCTGGGAAGGGGGGCTTTCGCCATAGCAGCATCAATGGCATTTCAGCACATTTGGGCATATGCAATTTTTTCTTTACTACATGCAAGTAAATAATAAATGATAAGAAACGGTCCTTGCTACAAGAGCTCAGCTGTAAGAGAAAGCAGCATGTAACTTGGACACATGATAGAGATATGTAAATTCTCCAATAGTGTTGGTGGACGCTATTTACACCAAAGATATCGGCTACCGTTTTGTTGCATATATTGCACTACTTTTTGAAGAGTGTTTCTTTTTTTCTATATTGCCTTATGATGTCTGACGCTAGCTATTGTATTTATGTGCAATGTTTTTTTTCAAACTGTTGTTAGACATGGCACTAGTGTAATGAGAAATGATGTAAACTGTAAAACATTGTTAAGAATTTATATTCAGTATGTACTGTAATGGCCTGTGTGGAACTGTGTGCCGTGGAGGGATCTAAGAGCTGAGCCTTTGAGCTGTTACATTTCATGAGCGATTGAATTATTGAGTTGCCTTTCTGATAGCAGTACCTGAATTTTCGACACAACTAGTGTTTGTGACATGTTGATTTCAGGCTGAAAAAGCTCCCTAAGTTCAAATGCAAAACCTGGGCCCTGTACTACAAAGCAAGTTCAACATACCCAGGTATGTTTTGGTTACCTGGCTTAACTGACTCTTAACAACCACGATCCCGCTTAGCTGGTCCTACAAAGAAGTTAAACACATAATTCAAGCTGAAACTAACACAGTTTCAACTGCCAAAAGCAGGAAGGACAGCTTGCAATATCTGATATTGTAAATTCACAGGTTTATAATATCACTGCCCCATCTAGGGCACGAGTAGATCTGACTGTGTATTCTGTCAAAAGAATGTGTTGCTTGTGGCGTGTATAACAATATATTAGCCTAATTCGTTCAGTGGCAACCCCGGCGGTGTGAAACAGACTTTGCATAAGTCAGGCATTATTAAAAATGATAAGAGGATATCCTTCCATAACAGCACTGCAGCACACGGCTTAAGAAGTTGACATATATGAGTGAATATATGATATGAATATATGGTAACCAAATATTTAGTGATTTTCTTCTATTTGCTCCCAAGTCCAATTCACACCGCCGGGGGTTGCACCTGAAAGAATAAGGCTGAAGTTGTCACACACGCCATAAGAATACCTCAGTAACATATTCATTTAACGGAATACACGTGTAATTATTGTCAGATTTATCGTTGTCTAGGTGGGCAGTGAATGTTATAAGCCTGTTCATTTACACATTCACACAGTATGCCATTTGTTGCCAACTGTCCTTTCTGCATTTGTAAATTGAATCTGTGTTGCGTTTAGTCTGGATTATAATTAACATTTCGGTGTATTTGTGTAATATTACCTAAGCTTTGATTGGACAGTATAGGCGATGCTTTTATACGCAGTGATTTCTTCTCTCCAACATAACCTGCTCCGGAGCAAGTTAGGTGTTCAGTGAAAATGACCATGGCAATCTACCCCCAGTGAGAAGGGAACCTCTGTCGTAGAACTGAAAACACAGGGTTAACCCCAAAATGACCTTGTTGACCCCTAATCCTGTTTAGTAGTACAGGCCACTGATGAGCTTTTCCTTTTTTGTTATCCAACTGACCTAACCCTAACCTAATAATCTTCTTGTATGCCTCCTCTCTGTGATGACTATTTCTCTTTTAGTAGTACATCCTGACATAAAGTTGACATTTGCACACCATATTGTGAATATATAAAATTGCAGCCACTATCCTTACCACCCATCTGACTTTTTAATAGATCAAAACAAACCTTGAAATTAATGTACATGCACCATTTCAATGACTTGAGGTTTTATTTGAAGTAGTTGGTTTGGATGTGAACAATAATCAAATCAGTCTACTCTTCCTTTGTCCTATTAATTGTAATTTTTGTAATTTATCAGGCATAGTAATTTTTCATTACTTTACTCTATGCATAGTAAACTACTGTGAATGTCTTCTATCAAATTAAATCAGAGGTAGCCTCTTAGATAAACATCTCTTACTTTTGACCAAAGGTAGTAATGAATTGGTGCTCACCCCTGTAAACAACATCCTTGTGTGAACTCAAGAAAAGCTCCATCTTAATGGAGTGTGCACCTATGAGTGATTTTTATGGGGATGACAGGTGGTGCTGGGTGAACCTGTTGCAGGCTGCAGCAGCAATACAACAAAACTCACAAGTCCAGAATAACTAAGCCTTTGAAAATGTGTTTTTTTAATTAATATGGTTAAATATTAAATTTCCAGCAAAGTTAATATAACTAGATTGAAGCAGTCACTGAAAACCAAAAATATTGGACCGAAGAAGCTAAGAATGGTCAGCTATCAGATGTTATTGCAGAGGGTCATTGGTATAACATTGGTCATTGGTATTACTAAAGGACTGTGTTTCATCAGAGGATATAAAAATGGAATGCATCGATATGTAAATGGTTATACAGCACCTGACATTACATGGTTATGTAAAAGCCTTTTGGAACAGAATGCAAAAAGCACAATGCTCGTGTTAACAAATATGTTTACAAATGTTTGCCATCACCAACACATTAAGTGTCCTTCATGCTGGTAGTGTAAAATATCTTTCTGCTTGTTATGACTCTTGCCAGGTTCACCTTAATCTTGAAGACAATGGACCCTGTGGGAATTGTAACGCCTCAGGTGGGATCGCTGCAGGATTTTGGTGGTAGACTACAACCTCCACACGTCATTGCTTTTGGTTATCAATGAGCCCACAATTAATTTTATGAGCCCACACCCACATGAATCGTTCCCTATAAGTTAAAAAAAATGCTAAAATGTAGCTGCAAAGGCAGCAACATTTTTTTTTTATTGTTACAATAATAATCACATTCTGAGTTATTAAATAATGACTTCACAATCAGAATTTCAAAACATACAATATAACCGGCGGGCCGTGCATTTTATACCTGGGCCTTCACTGCTGTCCTGCAGCTGAAACATCTAATAACCTCATGATGGTGCCACAGCTTAAATTGTAGGAAATATAATGTTTTCTGCACTCACGTGGGAGACAACTGGCTGTGTGACCTCTGAACCGGAAACAAAAAAAAAAAAAAAGCAGCTGAGGGACCGCACGAGGCTATGCTAAACTAGCTTAATGGGAAAACAGCAGCAGCAACACGCATTCTGCTACACACTCGAGGGCCATTCAGATATTAGATTTTAAAAAACAAACGCAGTTGACTTACCAAATGCTGTTCACTTAAAGACAAACTCCATCCTCCTTTCTTTGTTGACAAAGAGTTTAATCCCAACTCACAAATCTGTTTCTCCTCCTTCAGCCATTGAGTGTTAAAAAAACAAAGCTAGGTAAAAAAAAAAAGAATACACCAAGCAAAATGCAAACAATGTCATTATTTCTTCCATATCTTTCAATTTGAACTCTTACTACTCCAACTAAGCCTCTGATGGCTACTTTAAGTTTCGTTTCACGATAGTCACGTGCTCACCCACTGACCAATCACAGCACACGCTGCACCTCACTGCAGAGCTGCACCTGAAAACTGAGCTGCACGTAATGATGACGTACTTGTAGGCCAGCTAGCAGGCTCTGACACGTCAAAGAATACGCCCAACATGTCAAACTAAAGATCTGATTGGTTGAAGACTATGACAATCAACAATACCGTCCCCATTCACTTAAAGTGCACATGGATTCACTTGTGAGTCTGCAGGCCTCGGGCCTCTCTTCTTACCTAGAGACACAGAGGTGAAATCTGATTGGATAAAAGCTCTACTTAAAACAAGCTGCACTGGAAGCAGAGCAACTGAGGAAGACAGTAGCTGTGCAATGAGAAAATAAGGTAATGGGAAAAATAGTTTCATATATTATAATACATGTAGTGTATTTAAGAAAAAGTATTAAGTTATAATATAGCTATAACTTTGTGATTCTGTTTAGGCCAGCAGAGAAGGCTTTGCAGGCCCTGATGGCCCACCACTGCAATACAAATAATTTATAAAAAAGACAAACGCTTTCCGCAAGTAGAAATCGGTCCTGCGATTATAAGCAGGACATAGAACACAGTATAAATACCACAGACTGTACAGTATATAAATACTCAATGCAGGTAACAGGCTACAGAGAGAAAACACCTCTACTCTGGCAGAGATGATAACTGTCTTTATTAGTATTAGTACAGTGCATGTGTGCAGGGATTCGTGTTGATGAATATGAAGACAGTGACAATCTTTTCATTTCATTTTATATGCAATTATTTACTAAAAAAAAGAAAAAAAGAATACGAAATAAAATGAACAGTAAATATAGCAAACTTTCAATGAACAAATTCTCGTTCTCAATAACAAGAACCATCAGTAAAAAACAAAACAAGCTAGGCATAACTGTTTAAAATATAACCAAAATACACAGCAAATTATAACCGAACCGTTGAATCTACATTTTTGCAAAAGGGAAATATTGATATTAAACAGTTTCATTGATATTGCATGAGTGAATTGTTTCTACTGAAGCATGTTGATTGTTGCGTGACAGCAGCAGGAAGGAAGGAGCTCCGGTTTGTCTCCTTCACACCACGAGTGAAGCAGCCTCCCACAGAAGAAGCTCTTTATAAAGCCTGCATGCGATCTTGCATCAGATTTCATGATGTCATGTTCTATTTGAGGTCAAGGAAACGTGTTTAGGAATATACGTTAGGAGGTCATTCTTGGACTTTTCGACCGCAGCCGTGGATGTAGGCTACCCCCGGAGGGACTTTTTTTTTTTACTGTTGAACCGTAGCCTGGCTTTGGCCATAACAATTCTGATGGGAGTTATTTACGACAGTTCAGATCGGAAGCCGACCCAGGATGCCAGTGTGTTCGCGAACTTCCGCATGGGGCATTTGTATTTTGGAGGTTCTCTGCAGGAGGAGACAGCGTTTCCTTCGGCCCAGCAAGGCAGCGTTTCATTCCTACTACAGTGGTGTTTTGCCGGAACGTGTACCGTTTAGCCGTGTAATAAACCCATTCACTTCCAGGTCCGGTTCAAGAGTTGACGTTCAGGTGTCCAGGCACATCAGCATGTCGTCCATCGCGATGTCTCAGAGAATGGTTTGGGTGGACCTAGAGGCAAGTTATAGGGCTAAAACCGGCTTGTATCTGTGTAGTTAATTTAAAATGCGACTGTTGGTAAGTTTGCTAACATAAGCTAATAACATTTACCACACCAAGCTAACCAGATGTAGACCAAATGATGCTGGTGAGTTACGTTGCAATGTGCATAACTTGGAATGTGCTAAGTAACGTAATCTAGGGACTATGATTTAACGTTACATGTAACGCTTAAGTTATGTAAATTAACTGTTACATGTACTGAATAACGTTGCTGGTATGTTCCGGTTTAGTTTTGAATTGGCAACCGGACACCCTGCCTTCCTCGCTTCTGCTAACGTGAACGTTATATGGCAATGTAAACAGCTAGTTAGCACTT